TTTCCCAACAAATTTTACTTTGTGTTGACTTGATCAAATTAAGAATATTTTTGTATAGTAAAAGTACATGCATAAATGAAATAGGGCATTCCTGCCTCAAAGATGAAAACAATGTGGAACTATTGCTATCGTGATACTGATTTCATTTTTCAAAAATTACAGCGTGCTGACTGCTCCAATTTATATGATAAAATTACGTACGAAAATAAAGTGTAACATTGGTCAGTGCGAAATAAAAATGATATCTCAAATTATCGTTGCTAATTATATTGAAAACTCAAATAATAGGTAACGTATTTTTCAAAAAATTATTCGCAAATTACGCTTGCGTCTACAACAAAAGAGTTTTTCTCTAAAAACTCTTCCTTTAATGCACCCAGTACACAAACGGTTTGAAGAATTTATTAGAAAAGTAGCAAGAGCCTATTTTGGAAAGAATGCAAATATCGGCAACGTGGCATTCACATTTACATAACGTCTATGTGTAAGAAAATTGAAATGACAACGTAGCACACACACTTGCATAACGTCTGTGAAAAGATAGTAACGGTATTATGTTAGCGCCTATTTGATGATCGTTTTTATTCTATAAGTATCTATGTGTACATAAATTCGATATTGTCGGTAAATGATGATGACTTTTTTTACTTTTTGATGATCGCTCTACGTTATCGACGTTTATCAATTTCGTCGTTCGCTCCGGCATTTCCTTAAGATTAAAATACGATCTCAAGTGCGAAGTAAATTTATATACGAGGGTGGTCTGAAAAGTTTCCGACCTCAACGTGAAGATAGCAGCACTTGTAAATAAAAGCTAGTGAATTTCGTTGTTCATCTGTTGACAGTTACTCACCGAAGTTTCAGCCATTTTGGACTCGCAGTTGTTATGTAACAGTCGTTTGAGTAAGTTGATGTGAGTGTTTTTGTGAAAATGGACAAAATCGAGTATCGAGCTGTCATTAAATATTTGTTTTTGAAAGGCAATACGCCTACGCAAATCAAAGATGAGTTGGATTCTGTGTATGGGGACTCTGCACCATCATTTACGACAGTGAAATTTTGGGCCGCTGAATTTAAACGTGGCCGTAAGAGCTTGGGAGACGATGAACGTTCAGGACGTCCAAAAACTGCAACTACCGACGAAAACATCGCCAAAGTTCACCAAATGGTGCTAGACGACCGCCGAATTAAAGTGAGAGAGATAGCAGAGGTTATGAACATGTCAAAAGAACGTGTTTGTCGCATATTAAATCAACATTTAGGCATGAGAAAGCTGTCCGCGCGTTGGGTGCCGCGTTTGCTCACGTTAGACCAAAAACGTGTTCGAATGAACATTTCCAACGCTCTGTTGGAGCAGTTTAGGCGCAATAAATCCGAGTTTTGGCGCCGATTAATTACTGTAGATGAAACTTGGATACACCATTATACGCCTGAAACAAAAATACAGTCCAAACAGTGGACTGCAAAGGGGGAACCGGCTCCAAAAAAAGCAAAAACTGTTTTTTCGGCTGGGAAAGTGATGGCGACTGTTTTTTGGGATAGTCATGGAGTTATTTTAATCGATTATCTTCAAAAAGGAAAAACCATTACAGGAGCATACTACGCATCATTACTTGACAAGCTGAAGGCAGAACTTGCGGGAAAACGGCCACATTTGCAGAAAAAGAAAATCCTGTTTCACCAAGACAACGCACCGTCTCACACCTCAGCGGTTGCCATGGCGAAAATCCACGAATTACGGTTTGAACTGCTTGACCATCCACCTTACTCACCAGATCTAGCCCCAAGCGACTTCTTTTTGTTCCCTCATCTAAAAATTGCGCTCGGAGGACAGAGATTTTCGTCAAATGAAGAGGCAATCACCTTCGTGAACAATTATTTTGCAGAGAAAAACGCCGAGTACTATTTCGACGGGTTACAGAGATGGGAGCATCGCTGGGAGAAGTGTGTAGATTTACAAGGAGACTATGTTGAAAAATAAAAAACAATTTTCAGAAAAAATGACTTGTATCTTTGTTAGGTCGGAAACTTTTCAGACCACCCTCGTAGTTATCAGTTAATCGAGCCAAGGCAGTGAAAGGAGAACTTTTCTTCCGTATAAATTATTTCGAATGACGTGCTGTTTATCGAAATATTCCGGATAATCAGAAGTAGAAATCGGGATAATCGGAAGTAGAAATCAACGTAAAACGGAAGTTTAATTTCTACTACAGGGTATACGAGGTATACGAGGCGATCATTTATCTTATCTTTACATTCCTGATAGAAAATTTCGCGCATAATCAATGCGCGAACACAGGCCAGAATTCAGTTTCACAGTTTCTCGTTTGACGAAAGTAAATGTACACTTGCAAATGCTACACGATATTTTATAAGACTGCACATTAAGACGTCAAGCAACTACGTTGGACGATTTAACATTTTATATTTTTCATTCTGTGGTGATAAGCTCGGAAGTATGAAATTACAGTTTGTAGGAGAAATAAATTTTTCTTTAGATTGTTATGTTTTAAAAGACGGAACACGGCTCGCGTATATTTTTTACATAAATATAAAAATTTGCGCGTGCGTATTGTTTTATTTGTAAAAATATTGTTGATATTTGTAAAAATATTTTGATAAAAGATGCCTAGTATGTCGAACCACTGGTAATGAACGTTATTAGATTGTTTTCAAAATTTGTTTATTACTGATAAAACTAACGATTTTTCATATACATACTGGGATGCGGAAACATCCGAAAACATCATCAAATCGATAATCAATGGGTTGGTCCTTGCGTCAACTTATTAATATTTTAACCTATCGCATGTGAGATCGCGCTCTCTCATCATGTAAGCATATAAAGTTAAGACATTTCTTCTTAAGACGTTTCTTCTGCAAACCACATTTTCATAGTATCGAGTTGATTATGCGTTGAAACTAACTAATTCCCATGTTCGTATTCTTGCCGTCTCCCCTCGAAGCGCGTTGGGTCATCGGGACATAAAATTGCGACACTTGAAGTTTCATTGACTCCAACGAATAATTGTTCTCCGTGCGAGATACAAGTCTCTACGTATAATGAGCGGGACTATCGGGCTAGTTGTTTTCATGCGAAACAGATTAGTGCGCGACGTGAGAATCGCGGTATAATTCCCTGACTAAGACAGTTCGAATACCCGATTTGGTAAGACCTCGCGCAGCGTGATTGCACGCGCCGCGACGTTTATTGCCGTACTTATTATTACGTGATTCAATCTCAGGACGGAAATGCCACTGGACAGCTGGTAAACATTATGAACGCCTGCGGTTTTTCTAGTTTACTTTAGTCGCGTGAATCTATTGCTATTTCTATCATTGTTCTTACTGCGTTGCGCAAATCTCGTTACACTGGGGGATCATGTATTCTTTTCTCTCATAAAAATTGCGTATATTTGAAGTAACGTATAAAGTCAAAGTGCAAAGGACTATTTTACGATTGTTAATTTCGAAGTGCATAATTTTTAACGAATGAAAGCGATATCCAGAGAACGTTGGAGTCGCCGAGCGGCAATTTGCGGTGAGTGAACGTGGCAATTCGCCGACTTAATTTTCTTTTTATTGGAGAAACATAAAATTTGTCGTAGCGACACGATCGACGCGAAGAAACCGTATGAAGAAAGCGCCTTGCGCACTTGAACGCTTTGCGCTACTTTGCGCACGGGGTAATATCGTCCAGGCGCGCGCGACGTTCGCGCGTTAAAGATCAGACGATATCTATACGCAGACACACGAGACACTTAGTAATTTATCGCGCGCGATTTATGTAATTACCGCGAGCCCCGATACTTTCACGCATAAACCCACGGAATGAAATCCCGGTGATATTCGTGTGCGACGGGAAAATTATAACTTTCCACGTGAACGTAATCAACGATTAGGAATAATTGCGTCGGAGCTTTGGCCGTGTACTCGTTTCGCCGCGACGATGAAATTTGCATCGCTGCCACTTTATTCGCGCCGAACGCTGTTCCGATTTATCAAGTTGTTCCGAAGGCGATTCCATTTTCACTGCTTCTGGCGTCGATCGAGAACGCCTGGAAGCCTTCACTGATCTTCGTCTTAGATGATGAAAGCCACCGGCCGTCCGCCAACGATACCGCGGATGATCGTAAACGTCCAATTTGCCGCTCGGCCGTGGTTTTAGTTTGCAGAAGCGTGCGTTGGGACGATGAAAAAGGAACGCACTCTCGCGGTTGTTGCCAATTGCACGGTAAACTTCCAGCCTTGGAGAGTGCCCATCTTCATTATCCTTGCTCGTCTTAGTCGTCGCCGCCCGTCATGACTTCCATAAACTCTGAAAGCGCGCAAAACGCGGTGAGCGTTAGTATAATCAGGCGGCGCCTTGTGTTTCCCGCGGGCTGCGAACTTGGCGAACTACCTGAGGCGAGAGACTTATTGAATGTTCGATCGACTTTGCTATTAGCACTAGCTACACGCCGACGTTGACGTACGCGAAACGAATTTCCTTGGCTCAGGGCTTTGTAACTCGAGCGGATTTTAAATGAACTACTTGACTTCCGAGACGTGTCGTGTGTTGTCTTATCTTGCAAATTACACTTGTTAGGTAAAGCCTGCGGGATTTCTTAAGTATATTATTTTAAGCACGTGCTGTGCTCTTTGTAATTAATGACTGACAACTTTGGAATGTTTCTCGAGTATGCACTGTTGTGTAGTGTCAGATGTGTAAATTTTTGCGTAATTTAAAATACCAACAGTAGTTGATAGCTGTAGGTACAAAATATTTTCAGTGCACATCTCCCATGTTACAATAATATAAAATATACATTTTATGTATAATTAATGTAATGATTTTATGTATAATAATATATAATAATGTATGACTAATTATACAGTTTTTTTTAAACACCGGGTTTGGAAATTAAATTCTCAAGAGTTAGTTTAAATATTAGCTCATTAGTATTGATTAGTTACAACAACATGCAGATTAGGTTTCCTTATGCGGGATTAATGAGTAGTCAGCGTATCGCGCGATGCTAAAAATATAAGAAGCTCCGTGAAAAGAAATACCGTCAAAGTCGAGGGTCCCTGAACCGTCAGCGTCGATTTCCTCAATCATTAAGTCGAGTTCCTCCGGCGACAGTTTGTCATCTAGTTCGTGAAGAATGCCGCGAAATACTTCAGTGGTTATATAGCCGTTACCCTCTTTGTCATACAATCGGAATGCATCTCGTAATTCTTTCTGCAGTGCTTCCGTGTCTTCTTCTACTAAGAATCTAGCAGACAACGTGCAAAACTCTTCGAACTCGAGTTCTCCGGAACCTATTAACAGTAGAGATATGCGCATAAAAAAGTCAAGCATGCAACAGCAGATAATAGCATAGTTGAACGAACATTCGTTAAGTCCTCTCGCTTAAAGTGGCGAAAGAACGTTGTAGCTTTCCACTCACCGTCTTCGTCTACTTCCCTAATGATGTCCCCTAGCGTCTTTTCGTCCAGGTTGTAGCCCAACATGCTCAATATCGTGCCCACCATGTCGGTACCGATGCAGCCCTTCTTCTCATGATCGAAAGCGTCGAAGGCTTTCTTCAGAACTATTTGGGGAAATAATAATTTAATATTTCAGACATTCTTGCACACACAAACACACACCCTGATAAATTTTACAAAGGTATACTCACGAGCTATTTGGTCCTTGGTTAGGTCATCCTGCAATTGTCAAAAAAATACTGTCAGCGATTATCCAAGATATCAATATTGTCTCACTTTCGTCATAAATATGACATTTTCAAATAACAAAAAGAATTAAAATTGACCTCTTTACACATGAAAAATTAAAAATTTTCATTTCAATCAAGTTTATTCGTTACACGAACTTTAATTGTGCGTTTGTTTACTGTAATTTGTGTTGCGAGAACGCTGTTTCGCTGTTTAGAGAATTATTCTCGTGTTCGTAAAAGTTCAGAGACTTACCATGGCGATGTTAGCTATACGCGCTTCCCACGGTACGTTGGCGTCGACGGTTTATCGGAGTATGCACCAGATTCTAGCCGTGGACTTCTGTTTTAAGTGGTCATAACGATGATTCCCCTGGCACGTGATTGAACAGGTAGTAGTACCTACATCCCAAGTCTAGTGGTTTTCAAATTCATCGAGGACGCTCGCCCCACTACGGCTCCATAAACGCGCTTCAATTGTGCAGTCTCGCGGCAACATACCTAACTTCGAGAATCACTCATGCCTTTAATAGTCATACGTTCGATTAGTCGACGAGTGTTCCAAAAATCTTGACGTTCCTGCATTCGCGGAATTAATGGGAGCGTGTTGCGCACGATCAATCATGATCGCGATGATTAACTGCGATACGAGTCGTTTGACATTCGGATGCAGCTGCATCGATTCCATTAAAGTTTATTTGATGTTTAATCTTAAAGTACTTTAATTACGGTAAAATAGTCTCGAGTCTTTTTTGGCGGAAGGCCGTTGATGCAACGCTTTATACTATTATTATTGATTGCCCACGTCGCCGCAATAATCGAGACCTCACAAGCGACCCATTATGAAACATTGTAATGTCTCGGAACGCCGAAATTTATGAGCGGCACGATGTGTGACTGGTTACGTGAATGCAACAATAGACAGACAGAGTTGGCTCATGGCCGGAGACAGTATAGACGGGTAAGACAGACCCAAGACGGTTCTATGCAGCAACCCGTGCGCGTCTTTATTCTTAGACTCCTAATTATAAGCTCATAAAGCCCGGCTACTATTATATTTAGGCGATTTTATCGTCCATTCCGGAATACTACCGTTTGCTGTCGTGCTCATTGTCGAGCTCTCCCGAAGCACGCGCTACTCCGTCCCAACCAAGTTCACAATAGATTATGATTGCTATTACAACATCGGATGTGTAACGTCGCGACTGGTGCGTGCGAAGCACGTGCACCGCCACTGCCAACACGCGCAGGTTATATTTTCAGATGTGCACTGATGACAGCTACAATTAATTGCAGGCTCTCTAAGATACAGTGAAAGATTACGGAGAGTCGTAAGAGCACCGCGTTTTCTCATGAACACACACACACACACACACACACACACACACACACACACACATTGAAACAAAATATGAAAAAAGAATAATTGTTTCCACGTTAAGATATTCGTAATTTTTAGAAACAATCTGCTACATACTAGAAAGGTCTTGTGAATAATAAAGTATAGTAATCTTTTATTAATTTATAAATATTTCTAATCGACTTTAATTAATTTTTTATTTCAAGTTTTATGTGTTTTCACGAAAAAAAAACACGAAAAAAATGATACGTGTTAAACAGAAAATAACAAGGAGGTCTGAATAAAGTCTTTTTATTAAATATTATTTTTCATTTGTATACTTCTCTATGAAATATACTTCTCTATGATTTTTTGAGTTTTTTTTATTTTATACATATTCTGTGTGATATAGTCGATTCGTTAAATTTTATTTCTGTATATATTTTGCTTTATTACTTCTTGTGTCGGATATACAATTATACGTGACGTGGGCAAAGTGCATTACAAAATATTTCAACGTTTGATAAAATTACAATTTACATTTGGCAACGCATGTGCCAAAATCCTGGCACAAAGGACAGAGTGTGCAAGCTAATGGATATATAAATTCCACGATACCAATTATTGTCGCTTTTATACTACAAATGTTATGTCAAAGTTTCTTTCCTGACTTATATTCAACATAAATACGTACGAACATAGATATTCCTGCGTATTGTTTCGTTAAAAAATCTTCGAGTCTCTCTATTCTCTCAATCCCCATCCTTTCGCTTTATAACATCCGTATATTTCAAAATTTATATTCTATGGTTATTTCTTGATTATCGGGTAAACTGTACACTCTGCCAACGTCACGTACAACCTCGAGTAGGAGATTTCGGCTTGTTTGCATATACACATTCGTTGTGTTCGACACGTGGGCGATAGACGAGGGATCCGCGTCGTGCCAAAGTCGTAATTTATCCTGTCATGACCTCCATGAATTCTGAAACGTAAACGCCGGATTCGTCAGGTACGCATACGCGAAGACGAAGTGGATTAACACCTGTGCGTTACACGCGATCTCTCACCTTCGAAATCGAGCGTGCCAGATCCATCAGTGTCCACCTCCTCTATGATCATATCAAGCTCCTCTGGAGATAGCGCATCATCCAGTTCGTGAAGGATGTCTCGGAACACGTCGGTAGTAATATAGCCATTGCCTTCCTTATCGTACAATCGGAATGCCTCTCGTAGCTCTTGCTGTACCGCTTCGGAATCGGTATCCTCTTCGAGAAAGCGCGACGCTAACTTACAAAACTCTTCGAACTTTAGTTCGCCAGTTCCTAAAATCCAATATAAATTTTCAATAAGACTCTTCCGAGATTGCCCGTCAGATTTCTTATTTATTCATAAAATCTTCCTGCAATAAAGAACTACGGTATATTTCTGGATCATGCTTTGAGTGAAACATGAACTCAAGAACCTCACTCTGTTTTGTGTAACAAATACATCGTAAGATGCTGCTTTCAATGCAATAGCTAGCTGAATTTTAAAAACTTGCATGTGGTTGACGAATACATAATCGTAGTTTCTTTCTTAGTTCGTGTATACGTTTTTCCGTGTATAATTTTATATTTACCCCATGTGTCAATTTCTGAAATAATATCTGCAAGTTCGTCCGGTGAAACTTCATGACCAAGCATACTCAAAATCGTACCGACCATATCCGTGCTGATACATCCCTTCTTGTCGTGATCGAACGTATCGAATGCCATTTGCAAATCTATTTACGAAAATTAGTTCTTAGACTCTCCTGTGTACGGTATTTCTAAATACGAATCGATAGGCTAATAATTGATTAAAGGATGTCACGTATTATCGTGGTGCTACAAAGCTGATATTGATTTAATACAGAGAAACGTACTTACGAGATATCTGATCTGTGCTAAGCTGAATTTCCTCCTACAATCAAACCAACACCGTTACTCATTAACTTCTTATTTTTCTAAATTTCGGTATCGCAACGTTTCTTTTGAATAAAACAATAGTATTTATCGTTTTCGATTTAATTTGTATTTTTATCAGCAGTAATATAGATACATTTTTTTTTCTTGAAAAACACACAAAACACCGCGAGGAACTTTTCGCGATTATTATTCCGCATTGGATTCGCGCAGTCTGTAAATTTGCACGATAATTACCATATTGTTAAAGAATTCCCGCTTTCTTAAAAAAATCGAGTCCGATGGATTAACCGATCCCTTTTGTGCGACTAACTCACTGCACCGGTGAAAAAGTCATACTGAGCCTTTAGTGAACTAATTAGTAACGCAATACTACAGTTGCACACATAGGTTCGTTGTCAATAGATCACCTCCAATCATGTATTGGATTAAAGTCGCTATAAAAAGATTTTTATTTAGGACGCTCTTTCACGGCTGTCTATTTACGAATTAATTAACACGCTGACTCAGTTGAACACGCGACTTTTCAATTAAAAGTATGAATGCTTCGAAAACTCGATATTCTGCAACATTGCTAATCGTCATGAGATTCGTAAATAAGTCATTCATATGAAAGGGTCGCAACCGCGCGTCCTTTACTGAGGAACATTATAATATTGAGTACATCACTCAGTTATCGATTTCTGTATAATTTTACTTCGACTTTAATTGTAGCGGTTTTTAAATAATAACGGATTTATATTTCCAGCAGCTGATACATATATACATCTGTTGTTCTACTTTTGGAAGTAATATAATCGTACGAAATCCATAATGTACTTTATAATACTTCTATGATGTGTATGATTGCATATATATCGCGAATCAGTTTCACTCTGCGCATTATTCACGAACATGAAAGCGGTTATACGTAGCTGCGTATAATACATATAGCGGTTTAGTATTGGCATTGCATCCTTTTAGAGGATTGCAGTGGATTGCCGAGCGACCACTGCGCGAAAAAATCGTCTGGCAACTATCTTTAACCTCGATATATATATGTTAATCCCCACTGGCCAATCAGATAAAGCTTCGACGTTAAATCGAACTACTGACCTAACAGCTAAAATTAGTCTTGGGTAGAGGGGATCGCTTCATTACAATAATAACCGACTCATTACAGATTACTAAGTTTAGGATGGTTAAAATCGCGATTTCCTATTGATTGTATCGATTTTATTGTACATCTCTTTAGGTCCTCGTGTTTCTCCAAAATATCTTCCTGCAATTCTCTTGATTTATTCCGTCCAGTCAATTTACACAATTTACTCTGTCTGAAATGTCAAATGTAATCAGACGATATATAGAAGCAAACATGCTATTATCATATTATTTTAGCGATTTTATTTTGAAAATATTTTAATTAAATTTTCTAAGCAAATTTGTTTCCGGATTACTGTGTGTGTGTGTGTGTGTTTTAACCCCCGACAACTATATAAAAAGACTAATCATGCTTTAGAATTGTGTAAATCGGGCAATTTTTAAAACGTCGAGATTTGACGTCTTGAATGTATCTTTATTATCGATTTATATCTCTAATTTTTCCATTTTCTCTCGTCTTAAGAACACACAATACTATTATCGTAATCCACTGTGCTTGTTCCCGGAACCTGACATTGACCCATGTGACTTTGGGCTGTTAGCCAGATTTAACCAAGTCCAAAGCGAAACTAGATTTCTGACACATCCATTATCTAACGTCACACAAAATACGTTTAAAGTGGAAATATACACAACTCAAAGCAATTAGAGGAATGCTTTTTCAAACGCCATAATTTAAATATCCAAAATATCTAAAATACTTCTCTCAGTAACTATCTACAATTCTTAGGAAATATAATTATATTTTCACAGTTTTTTAATTTTATGTTTGATTTGAGCAAATTGATTTAAGAAATATTCATTTCGTGTAAGTCGCTAATTATTTTGAACAATATTACCTAATTATTTTTAGCAAAGGAGAATTTAGTAACGTGTAAATCTGTATGATCAGTAAAATATCTTTCCATAATTTATAATAATTTTTATTTTTTTACAATTTTATTTGCTTTTTTATATAGTTTCTTGTAACTATACCAAATTAAATTTTTCGGTGCAAAATTTGGGAGGAAATCCATATTAAATAAAAAAAGAATTCTACATCGTTACACCGTGCACGAATCGGATTTATCCTTGTCCGTGTCCGTCATTATCGATAACGGTTGCGCGACATTAGTATGCGGATGCGGCGGTAACGGCGGCGGTTCGGTTTCTCGGCTTGTACACTCGGATCTTTTGAGTCGCCATGAGTTTAACTGCGACAAGGTCGGCTCGATGCTGGAGATGTAACTCGTGTCTTCACTCGTGTGTATACTCGACGCTGAACTCGTGGAGCTCTTGTCGGTCAAGTTTTGCGCCGGTGGCAGAAGTACGATATACCCATCTTCCTGCAAGTTCTGCGAGATCGTGGGTATCGTGTTCTTGTTTGCGGATTCGATAATGTCGCTTGAAAGTCCCTTCGGCAATACCATGACGTCCAGGTTCCCGCGTTTTACTATCACGATTCGTTTGCTTCCTCGCAGCATCGTGGGATGTCGTCGTACTATGACGAACATTAATACTGCGCTTATAAAACATATTAATATCGACGTGCTTACAAATATACTGATAATTGTGACATTTGACATTTTTACGCACGGTTGATCGTCAGGTTGCTTTTCACTCGTCTTATCTGTCGTTGATGTATTGTCGTATTGATTATAAAAAATCGCGTTCGTGAAGAATTTGCCGGTGTTTTCTCCGGGTAAACTGCAGACCGGAATGTTTTGTACTATCCTCGGGTAAAGTGCCATCATTTCTTGCACCCACATAAGACTGTAATTGCAGTGCCACGGATTGTTGTCCATTAATAGAAGAAAAGTAGAATTCCGCAGAATTATCGAGTCAAACAAACCTTCGGGTAAAGTCTCGATGTTATTGTTGTTTAAAAATATCTGTTTTATAGATTCGGAGATAGGTTCGAATGCATCCACGCAAATAGTTTTTATGCTCGAATATTGTAAATAAAGACTCTCTATCTCGGGAACGCCAGTGAAAAGTTCCGAGTTGATGATCGTGATACGATTGTGTCGTAATGCTAACTCTTTCACATTCCATAAATCGCCTGCTCCCGTGATATTGCGAAGAACTTCCGTATCACTAATAGCGTTCTCGAGTTGAAGATTTGCCAGATTTGTCGCGACGTCCTGAAGTAAATTTTTCTCGGCCTCTTTTATCTCGTTATTCACGATGGAGAGATATTCTAGTTTCGGAAGATGATGAAATGTGGCTTTGTTTAAAGTAGATATGTTATTATCTTTTAATATAAGTTTTGTCATCTTGCTAAATATAGGCGAAGAAAATGCTCCGTCGCTCAACGTTGTCAGGAAGCAATTAATAAGAGTCAATCTCGCAATCTCTATGTCCGTTTTCAACCACTTCTCTTGAAGTTTGTTATCAAAAAATCTCGATTTCTCGAGTGTCAAGTTTATGGTGATTTTCTTGTCGCACTTAACCTATCAAATAATTAATAGCAAAATTAAAGATTTTATTTGATATATTCCCAATTAATAACCCTTTCACCTCTGAATATGTATCTCAAATGTTTGTGGTATTTCAATTTTTAATAATAATTTATTTTTTTATATTTTTATAAATTATTAATATTGCTTAGGCAACAACATTAGTAACAATTATAGGTTTAATTAATATAAAATTGGCAGTAAATTTTATATTTTTCTCCGTACATATCCTTGCAGTAGTGAAAGGGTTAAATTATATTATACTGTCAATATCTTTTTTTCATACTATAATGTTATAATTATAATGATATACCTTGAAAATATCTTCGATGAATGTCCTGATTACTTCTCCTGGATCGAACTCCTCTGGTATGCAAGAACATTTGATGCTCCCGCATGCTGCTTCAATGTCACAATACTTCTCACTGTTATTATATGATCTATTGTGTGATTGATTATGCAGTTGATTTGTGAATATCTCTTGCCGAATGTCGTTCGAAATGCGTCCGATGTCGCAAATTTTTGATCCTTCTTCGTCGCTTTTAGTAGTAAAATAGCTGCTTGCGGCGAGTAACAATAAGACCGCTACAAACATCCGACATACACAGAAACTGCATTCAGTTATATATAATTATTGTGTATCAATAATTGTCAACTTTTATATATCGTGGATTTCGAACATTTTCCGATATTTATTTGAGAAGGGAAAGAATTAAAAAAATCTGGGAAACACGTTGTAAGGGAAACTACTCAGGGAAAACTAATGTTTGTTTTTATATAATCTTATGCATGTAGTAATTCACGTTAATTAAACGGTGGACATATCAAGCATGTATGTTACGTATATCCTTAGAAAATATGGAGTACATTTATCGTTAAAACAAATTCCGACAACCCCAACATTTATAAACTAGAAAAGACACTGAATTTTATTAAATACTTTATTCATACGTATGAATATAATAAATGATTCGTCGTGTTTTTTAATTCGATAATTTTTTTATTAGTTTAACTCACACACTCCTTTGACCAAGGTACTTAAATATGGAACGGCAAAATGTATCTGAAACCGCAAATACCTCCAACAGCGCGTAGATCTCTTTACCAACATCCAAACCATCTCTGATATTGTTGGTCGCGTGCCAGACTTACTATACGATACAGTACGATTGACAGAGCGTGGAACATTTCGTCGAATCTAGAATCGCGGTCTACCTGCAGTCGACATTGATTAACGTTATCGTGCTCTCTTATCGATGTACATATCTCGTATATTGATTGCCATAGAGAAATTTCGATGTATTTCCCCGCCCACGCGTATCTCCTAATTCGATAGCAACGTGCCAATAGACCATCATATTGAATATCTTATTTTATCAGAATTACAAAGAGACTTATTGAAAACATCACGCGCAGCAAGAGATATATTAATAATGTCAAATAAAAGAGGCACAATTAACACACATCACGAACGCTGCTTTTGCTTATGTCAATTTTATTCATTTGAAAGTTTCACATATACACGTTAATTATTAACGACATAATAAACAATGACATATAGACATCAGAATCTGAGTAGACAGCCGAGTTGCGGGCCGATACGAGAAAAATGTTTCATAATACATACATATCACGTAATAATTACCATAATATGACCATATACACGTAACATTATGTAAAGACATATACAGACGAAGTTTGTGTAGGTGTGTGTCACATAATAACCATACATATATATATTTATAACATCGATGTAACATTAGGCGTGATTTAGTCTCGTATGCGTGTATTTGTTTGTGTATAACGCGTCTCATGTCTAAGAGCATTTATGCCGAAAGTTACAGACGCACATATGTGTGTTTGTATTTGTGTGTGTACACATTGAATCAATAACTAATTTTCTTTCTTTACGTCTAATTTTATATGAACTTTAGTTCTTTCATATAATACGTAAGAGTCACGATCTCTCGTTAATTAAAGAGAAGACAGTGAAGAAAGGGGAGTGGGATGCTTGATACTAGATTAACGTTTCATGTTCAACTTGTGTGTGTGTATCTATGTGTACGTGTGTGTAGGCGCGTGCTTACATTGTCGTACGCATGTACGTCGGTGCGTGTTAACACAGAGTACGAGGTTCCTCGAGTCGTGCGAAGAAGCGACATGTGAGCGAGCACCGAGATTATGAAGTTACATCCTTCGATCGGGAGTTAAGCTCCGTTTGTCGTCCCTCACGCGCGGCTGCCATTTGGGATCGTCAATTTCATTCACGCGTTCCACACGAATGTGTCGAGGGTGCGTTCGCGTTCAGGGTATCGCGCGCTATCATACGAAGTAATTACGGCACCGGGTACGCCCGTCGGGTGCGCCGGCAACGATTCGACCACATTGTAAGACGCTGTACAAAAATATCCGCTTATAATAATTAGTAATAATAAACGGCGCACCCGACGAGCTTAGCGCCGGCTTTTCAGCGATATGTCTCGATATGGTTCTGCAGGCTCGACGTCCGCCGATCCGTAACCCTTTCGCTGCAACGCGGCTGTGTTAAGTTAATCAACGCTCGACAGAGCGTACCGTCGTTCGCCGCGTATGCTCCGCACTCAAGGAGATTGTGTTAATTCCTACGAACGTGATTACACGCCGCGAATCTTATCCTCGAGCAAATTTTGTCACGTGTCCCAGTACGGACGATCCGTTGTAAAATCGGATGTTTCGGATGATCAAAAGGCGCGAAGCATCTGATCAGCGTGCGCTGCTGCGATGTTCCGCAACGAAAGAATTAGAGTCACGCGAACCGTGCGTTCCCGTTTCTGCTCTTGTTGTTCTAAAAACCGCCTAAAGATATATTCCAACGCCCGAGCCGGAAGTTCGTCGGCACATTAAGCTTTCGTACGCATCAGCTGTTGGATAATCGACGCGAACGTCGTCGGGAACGTCGTCGTGGAATAATTCGCTGGAATAACGCAGAACTCAGGAAAGAGGTAGTCTCGCGAGAGGGAGTTTCCCTCGTGAGACTATTTGCATATTTCGAGTGTGTTCTTCATCTCGATCGTTACGGCAGCGAAGACGTATGCTGAACTTCTGACTCAGGTGCGATTATGCTATCACGCTAGTTTTACTTTCAAGTCTATTAATTTCTTTTACTTATTTTTTTTTGTAACTTACTGCCGTTCACACACTGCTATTCCTTTATTTACCGGGGAAATCAGGTTGTACCTCAAATGATCACACGCTCATAAATTATTTGCACGCAGTTATGAGAAGAGAAGATTCAATTATTACATATATGTACACAGATATGCCTCGTACGAATCCTAAGCTAAATGTAGGGCCTGCAGAGAATCGCATTCGGCGTATCTTTAATTTTTTCTCTCAACTTACCGGTTACTGAAGATATACTGCTCTATAATTAACGGTAAAATTATACGTATCAAAAGTACGATTAAAAAACGTGAAAGCCGGACATCCTGGATTGAAATAGAAAGCAACTTTTGAAACTGCGATATGCGCCCGGCAGCTTCGTATCGTTATCGACGTAACTTCTTAGAAAAAACATCCAGTGCGTATATGTATATATATATGTATATAAGATATAGGTATATAATATATATCTTTTATGATCGTAATAATGCATAATAATATATATATTATATGCAACGTACATATATGTATATATATATATATATATATATATATGTATATGTTAACAAATAAATTCTCTTAAATCTCATACGTTCACGATATGTATACGATCTTTAGTCGTTATAGCTTCGCCAAGCTTTAAATCGACTTAATTAATCGGTTTATCTTACAAGTAAACTTGGGCGTATAAATGATATGTGTATGTGTTTATGCGATACCGTTGCGCATCGTTTGCCCGCACATTTGAAGGAGAATATCTTTGCTCGTGAATTAAACAACGCGTTTTATCGATCCTACGATATTTCATTGATTTATCTCCAATAATGAGGACACGTAATTTACGGTGTACAAAATATTATCGCGAAAACAGGTCCTTTTACTCCAGACATAAATTCTTCTCTCAGGCATCCCTTAGTCTAGTTTAACGTCGCGAAACTTATTCTCACTCGTACAAATTCTCCTCACCGACTCGCCGACGAGGTAGAACGCCAGGTTGCTAAATTAAGACAAAACCAAGCACGATGACGAAAGAATCATTGGCGATAGCTCCGAAATTCTCCTCCAAAGAGTCAGGCCGTGCCGGTTGATATGCCACCACGCGGCACGTACGTCTTACGATAATGCCTTAGGCTTAATTCTACCTTATCCTTATTATACGTATCGAATAGCAAAACACATGTTACTTTCCACGTTAGCACTGTGATCAGCACTACGTTCCGTGAACGCTTCATCTATCTCTCTCGCGCGGTAGGCTCTCAGCCTCCGCTGAGAAGCGCGTTTCCTCGCCCGATGCACCGTCGGACGTGCTCGCCGTTCAGTGCATCGAAGCGAAGCGTGCGCAACGTGTATTTTCGTACGTCGCGATCTTCCGGATGTGAAGCGCGATCTTCTTCCATTGCTCGTATTGAACAAAAGGGGAAATATTTTGCGGGAGAAACGATACACCTTACGGACCGTTTGCGTTCGGTGCATCGCGATTACGGCGGACACGTGCGTTGCATACGCTTCCTCTCTCGCGAGACGGTGATGCAATTAGCTTAGTTCACGCGCGTGAACGTCGGCGACGAAGTAGCCCGAGTAAAGCTCGTAGGCGTCCGAACGGCCGCGCGTTTGTGCTCTACCGGCTTTAACAAGTGTCGGTTTCCTGTCGAGAGTATATTACGTGTCATCAGCAGTCGTTATCTCATTTCGTGCGATCGGGCCTTTGCAAATCGAGTTAAGTATCGGGGCGATCTCAAGATGTTAGCGACTACTGCGCAGAGACAGTCCGGCAGAAAAGCCGGACGACGAGAGATTTCTCTCACGAGTGTCGCCAATGTCATTCGCATTTTAATCTTTGGAGTCGGACGCGAATACAGCCTCTTCGCCGATTTCTTCAAAACGTGTAAATTTCGCGAAAATTACTCTTCCATGTTAGATCATTCATGGAAGCCGGTAGAATGATCCGTCTGCTAAAAGTTTAATCGCACAATTAATGAAATATTGCCTTGCCGTTCAATCGTAAACGACAACCAATTGTGCTGGACAACAATGTAAATGCTTCTCAGTGAAAATATCAATCCTGAATGATTTTAACGTACTAAACACGAATATCAGCATATAAATTTCTAATTGGCTCTCGTTTAAAACATAAGTCAACATGTAATCCGTAGTAAAGGTAGTATTATATAACATCTACTAAAACCGAAATACCCTGAAGAATTACGAAAATACTATACTACAATAATATTATACTACAATACTATACTTCGGAAATGTTTATTTGCACTCATTGCATAAAAATCGTGCAGTATATGATATTAATGCCAAACGCGCGTGTCTAATATTTTTCGTTTTAATTACATCTGGAAAACAAAAAATCATACCAGAGGAAAACCAAATGCATTTTAAAGCTAAATAATTTAATTTAATTAATGAAATTTTTAGGAAAAAAATTTGCTGCCGATCCTATGACGTCATGAAAATCCTAACAATTATCGTTTCTGGCATTTTCATCGCCATTTTTCTTAAAATTGTAATCTAATAGCTAAATTTGAGAACAAATTCGTGTTTAGCAGAGAAAAATACATCGGAAATGACTATCTACGTTCGTGAAGCGAAGAAATTTTGTTAACTACTAGTGTTATTACTCATAACAGATTTGACAAAATCGCGAGGATAGACGTACGAAATAAATAACGATTTGAAAATCTCGGAAGATCGTGACGTACGGGAGCGGGGCGGGAGGGGAGGCGCGAACATTCTGGAGCATAACGACGATTTGCAGCACCCGTGTTCAACAGGAACGTATTGATATGTATACGACGAGCGAGCCAGAACCGCCTAGTGGCGACTGCCTTCCGGCCACTCGAATCCTAGTGATTACACTACGCCTCGCGTCTCGCGAGCTTAACAGATAACCACGAAATAATTGGCAACGATGTTGATATGTAACGTTCCGATGAAGAAAACTCGCGCGCTCCTCGCGACACGAGCATTCTTCGGTCCACCGGTCGATCGCGCGATCGACCTTCGATCATAGTGGTCGCTCAGAATCTATACTATCGAACTGTACGAGCACTTGATTGCCAGATAACAACGATTGGATATGTGTTCTATTGCTTGCTGGTTTTCGCTTAGACTGAAGTCGCTCCGATAAGAGTTGTCGCGAGTGGGCTCGAGATCGCGGTTAAAACAGTTCGCCGTGTGCTCGCGATTAGCGTCGTCTGTAATTCGATCGTAGAGCATCTGAGAGTCCCATTAATAACAGTGATTTCATCAGCAATAAATTCGCCGTCTCGGCAAGCGTGTGCATCTCTCTCTCCTACGCGTCACTCATCGCGTTATATCTAGCGGCCGGTCATGCCACGTCTATGATATAATCGTTACGACACGCGGCAATCGAACGGGATGGTGCTTCGTTGCGAGCTAACTTACCGCGATGATGAACTTTTGTTAACGCGGCTTGCCTACGTTCCGCGCGCTCGATCGTACGAACGCGACGAACAGATCTGTGTGGACGTGCCGAACTTTTAAGCGCATTTCGCCGCGAAAATAAATTAATTCGCATTGCAGAGCATCTCGGGGTATGGACCCGCAAACAAAGCGTCTGAGAGATTCAGGATCACGATCAATTAGAGTCCAAATTCCTCGGTAACACTACCTCTCTGTCTCGGCGAATAAAGTCGATAATGATCGCGTGTACTCAAGATTAATCGAATCGAGTGAACGATAGAGGCCTTTCCGGTGGAACCGGCCAGTGAAAGTAAATACCGCGGAAATCCGGAAGAATGTAAAGCACTCAGTTCTCAAAAAGTCGATTGTCGCGGTTACCAAGCATCACGTCTGATTGTCCATGCGCATCGCATGGACGCGCGTCTGCCATGAGAAAGCGACGGTCCACGGATATCGGTCCTTGTACGTCCGTTGTACGCGAAAAGTAAGAAAGCAACTTCTCGAACGGCGGAGGAATCACAATCAGCCATTCCTCCAGCCGTCGCGCCAAACAATTGCGATTCATTTAATGATTGCCGTTTCGGGAGTAACGATGCCGTCAACTAGCGCTCGACAAGATCTCCTACAATTCAAGGCATTCGATCGATCGTGACATCACGATAACGCATCGACTTTTCGTGTCGTAGCTCTCCTCTGTCATTTGGACGACAGGCCGCGTTTCACCACTTGTATGCCGAGTTGTCGCGCGATGACATACGTGACAAGGTCACGTTGATCTTCGCAGAAGGCCGCTTCCACGTCGACGAGAGCGGTCTGGAATCATGACGCGTCTCCGCCGTCGCGTCACGATTCTACCCCGGGAAATAAATAGTAAGGGAAATGCTTTTCTCGTCGTGGCGAACGAGGAGGTTAAAGTAACGAATAGCGCGCTGTGCGGCAGCGTTACCGGTGAACGCGATCGTTAAACGTCTCGTCGGCGTCGAAACGAAAAGTCGATGGCGCACTCCAATCGCGAAGTCGCGCTTCTCCCGCGGGATTACGCTAAAACGGCGGCGACGATTATCAGCGGTAGAGTCGCGTCAACGTACACTTTACACGCGACTGACGCCGACGAGATCCTGCCGGCGTTCTTGCCCACGTTGCAACCCATCCTCTCGAGCGGGATATTCTGCACGGAGTACTCGCGGTGTTCCGAGGACATCATGCAGACCGTCCGCTTCTTCGACATCATCTCGTCGTCCTTGTCACGCAGATTCCCGAGCCAAACGGAGTACCACCGTAGCTGGCAGTTGCAAATCAGAGGATTATCTGCGCGCATAGGGAAACGGGACGATAAGAAAAATAAATGAATGTCGCGCCGAGACGGAAATTCGCGTGCGCTGCACATTGAAGTGTGTTATTGTCGGACGCATAAGTGCGTACGGTAAAAGTGCCTAGACATTAACAACATTGGTACCTGGACATTCTTATTTTGGTTTTTAAATACAAATATTTCAACTTTCAACGTAAAATATACGTGTATATATATATATATATATATATATATATATATATATATATATATTCTATATTTTTTTGAAATTTTAAATAATTATATTTAAAGGCTTAAACAATAAGAATGTCCAGTGTTATTAGTAATATCAGTGTTATCAGACATCGATACTTTCACCTAGATTTGGCTGGAGCTCTTTTTACACATTTTTTGCGGTCTTAAATCACGTCATTTAACATATATAAAACGTGTGAATTGTAATTTAATGTGTTTAAACGTATCAAGTGATGTGACTTAAATCGATAAGAAACATGGGAAAAGAGATTCAGTCAAAGTAACACACTTGGATTTACAACGTGAATCCTCTCGTTAAACTATTCACGTCTCCACGGCCAATTAACGAACGGTCACATTAACCGACGATTATGCGCAACGTAATTTAACTGGATAATTCGTTCCGCTACGTAATGGGACTTTTATGCGGTGAATGAAGTATGTATCAACGACTGGTACGATATATTTTATTCGTGCTTTGGCTACTAAGTAGTTCACGGTGTGATCCGGATAGAAAGAATTAAGGGGATCATCGTACGTTTAAAATAACGCTAGCGTCGGCGTTACGCTAAAGAGAAACGATACGTTACCCGTGATATCGATATGACGTAGAGTGTCGACGATGTTCTCCGTGACTTCTTCTTGAATGTTCGTGAGTTTGTTGTTTTGCAAACTCAAAGTTTCTAGCGAATTGAGGTTCTCGAATACCAGGGGCGGGAGCTCTTTGATCCTGAAAAAGTAGCGTAATTATATATTCACATTAATACATGTGCAATCCATCGATCGTTATTGTCGAGAATCTTGAGAGGTGCGCACGACCGATCGATTATCTATTTCAACGTTTTCCTTCGATCGAGATTCTCAAGTCGCCCGCGGTATACGGAGGAACGTGTATTACAAATTTTTCTGTAGATTGAGGAAAGTGATGGAATCGCCGTAGCCCGTGAAAGCATCCTCCGGAAGTACAGTGATGTTGTTCGACCGTAAGTCCAAGTGCCGTAAGCGATGCAAGCGTCGCAGAGCGTCGCTTGGTACCGAATGCAAATTATTATCTCCCAGTCTCAAATATTGCAGATTATCTGAAACGAGCGATTGAGGCGATTATGGAAGGAAGAATGCGCTGAAAAGAATGTGAGTGTTTCGGTCGACGAAAGGCGACATTGTTGGAATTTTCTCGTTAAAATTTTTTGGTTATTAGTTCGTCGCAAAGCAGTCGATTGATTCTGCCGCCTGACGGTACGAGTAACGTAATTAAACGATCGTGAGAGTATAAAACATGGATATTAGAAAAAGCGACGGCAATCTAGCTCACAGCAGATAGATTCGTTACGCGAAGAGCATTAATAATAATTCCCAAGAGTCGCGACACGCTCAAATGTCTTCAAATCGATTGTAGATAGTCGTAATCAAATCGAGTTGCCGTAACGGCAAATAAACGCAAATCCATCGGGAAGAATTTATGCAAGCGTAGATTGAGTGCTCCATCCGAAAGCTTCAAACAGAATCCGTAAGCGTCACGAGATAATATTTGCGCGTAGAACGAGAAGCATCGTGCAATGAATCCACCTAATTGACGCTTAATAACAAATATAAAAAGTCTAATAAATATAATTTCTTATCGAGTCGAAATTTTGATCCTATATTAAACTTTGAATTCTGCAACATAGTAGAAACTAAGTTAACAAGATAGGTTTAATTCTAATGATACAATTTACTCCTTCTTTGACTCTGATGATGTCCGAAATTTCTCTTTTCATTTCTTTTAGCCTTCGAAATAAGTGTTGAATGGAATAAGGAGGCTGAAAATAAGATCAAAATTTCAACTCGAGTTTAATTTACCGCGTGCCACGATTGCCTGTCGGCGATGCAATCGGTTCCTTTGGGTATGAGTATAAACGAACGAGCGACACTTTACAAACTACCCCTCGTCGCGTCGCGTCGCGTCCGACGAGCGCGTGAACTCAACTATCTAGATAGCAGTGTTTCAACAAAGTACTATTTTTTTCAGGTGAACCAACGGCTTTAGTGCTTTCGGCGATTCGATCAAACGTTGTCAAGTTCGCGAGTGATAAAATAACACAGATACACAGACAAAGTCACACAGATACGCTGTTCAAAGTAAGCGTTAAAAATCAAAGTATTCTTTGATTTTCGAAAAACAATGCCAAAATATATTTCATCTTCTAATAATAATATCGCTCTTATATTTCCCGCGAATCATTGCCTGATAATTAATTATACGTTCGATTGTATCTCGGTCGAAATTTATTTTATTTTATTTTCAGCTTTATTATTCCATTAAATATCTATTTTAATATTCTGAAACCTACTCCACATACCTCATCAACATCAAACACACATCTTTTGATTCTACATGGAAAAAAAATTTGCTAATATATGGACAACTAAAAGTATTAACTGCAGGAGCAAATTTTTTTGCTTTCATAGCAAAGTTGTGATAGCTAAAAGATTTGCTAATATATATATTAGCTAATATATATATATATATATATATATATATATATATATATATATATATATATATATAT